TGTCCATTTCCCCTTGGCTTCATTCTGCTCCCTGTCCCTGTCTTGCAGCTCAGAGGGGCTGGGTAACCTGAGAACACCTGGTCTGACTATTAAAAGACTGAGGCAAAGAAGCCATTGAGCCTCAGCCTTTTTGTCCCTCTTTCCCCCCACCTCCAATTTTCCCCCCACATCCAATAAAGGATGGAGATTCTCCTTAGCTCTCCTTTTGTTGTTAATGTATTTGTAGAAACATTTGTTTTCTTTTACAGCAGTAAAAGTTAAGTATTAAATGTTTAAAAGTATTTTGCTTACCTGAGTCACCTATTCAACAGCATGAAAATATTTAAATGAGTGAAGTGACATGTATGTTACATCTTTTTCAAGAATGTCCTGTGCTCTAATATGAGCAGGGGTCTGATTCTTTCTCCTCTATACTAAATATAAAGGTATAAATACACCCCAAAAAAAATAAGTTAACACAAGTGTATTATACTGTAATGATGCTGCATTACAGCGAGTAACTTCTAATAACTAAGCTTCTGTTAGAGGAAGAAGTTGGAAGCAGATCTGACATGAAACAGAAACTTAGTCTGAAGGACTGGAGGTAGAGTATGGTATTTGGCAAGAGAAGTTTTCAACATCCTTTGGTCTCACTCTGAATTCATGTAGTATAGAAAGCCAACAGCTGGGAAACATTGTATCAGAAGTGACACCAGCTGAGTTAAAGCAAGAAAAGGTTATTTTGACTGAGACTATAGATATATGAGAAAATACACTGAAAAAATAACACAAATAAACTTAAAAGCAATATTAAAAAAATACACTAGAAGAACTGTAAGCCATTCCCAGCCTAATTTCTTCTTGGCAATTTTGCAGAGAAGGGGAGGTGATTGGACCAACACTCCTTATACAGCTCAAGGCTCCAGGAAGCAATAAAGTAGTAAGGGATTTAAAAGCTCTGTTTTAATTCCCAGAGAAGCAAAGATTCTCAAAGCTCATAACAGCCTTTCATTATGTGTAATGGTTATGAATATGCTTTGATTCTGATAAAGTCTTCAGAGTAATTACAGACTATCAATTTTTACGTACAGGAAAAAAGCAGTAACACAAGTTTGTAATACAGCAGAGGTAAGAGGCAAGAAATTATGTATTTGGAAATACCAGAACAGATGTAGTCAGGATGAAGCAGGAGACAGAAGACTTCAGAGAAGACTGTCATAGATACTGATTTGGAATGGAAAAAATTAATAGTCATTAGCAGGATCTTACAAGACATAAGCACAGAAATAGAAATCTTGTCCCATCCTTACAATTCTTGCTGGCTCAAAGCATCGTAGAGAGCATCACAACATTTGAGAGTCAAAGGTTGAATGCTAAAGTAGCATTCTATTTCAGACCAAAAGTGCCCTTGTGAAGCAAGTCCCCCAGTTGTCTCCAATTACTACATGCTGGTTTGCATTGCAGGGCTGTCTCAGAGTGCATTAATTGATTTTCTATTGGATGAGACTGAGATACAATGCAGGACTTCATCTAATGCACTTCTACCTAATACACTTCAGCTGGTAACAGACATCCAGTTCATGCAAGCCTAGAGCTAACCTCAAGTAACCTCTCCCCACTGCAAACATGTATTGTGTGGGTGTCCTCAGTGACTTGCTACTGGATAAGGTAGGCATAGCCAGAATAAGAGAGACATCAATAGCTCACACAGAGGAACAGTGCATGTGTGCTATAGCATACAAGTACTATGTTTTGCTCAGCCTTCAGAGTAACATGTTGCAAAATTAAATAATTACACTTCCACATGCAGAGTTGAACTAAGTTTATCCCTATGGTAATACTCAAAATACATGGATGAAATTGAATCTAATTAAACCTGCACCCAGAGCAGAAAAATGTTGAGCAGGAAAAGTAGTTCAGTATGCACAGCAAATCTCAGTTTTCCACATTTTAATAATCAAGACTGATACTGGGCCTGTAGTTAAGTTTCCCTCAGTTCAACTTTTGAGTAAGATGCCAGGGTCCCACCTACTTTGGTGTTACACTTATAACAGATGGCAGTTCCAAGCTAAGTCCCTTGAACACCATAACATAGTTAAGTCAAGTCAGGTCAAGTCTTCAGCTCTTTGTCTCATGTTAGACTGAAAAATCACAATACCTTAACACAAGTGTTGAGTATTAAGGCAGCCAGCACACACAAAAAAATCTGATTGTATGATTCCAGAAGCCCTTGCAGGCCTGTAAATATGCCAGCAGAGTACATATATTAGTCTGTCACTATTATCAGGCTTGGCCTGAAAAATAACCTCTTTGCAGGAGACAAACTCAAGATTGTACCCAAGCATCTCGTAAATGAAGGTCAAGGCCAAAATGAACGTATCCACAAAGATTCATAATTTAGTCACAGCTAAAAAAACCTGTAATTTATCTTAATCCCAGACATTTTAACAGGCCTATTCTAAGCATTATTCTATATTTGTTCACAAACAGATGCTCAGCATAGACTACTTGGTGAAAACATATTTACTCTTCTAGACAAAGTAAAGACTGATATTGGCAAGTCTGTTTAAATGAGGAATCATCTAGATGATGGAACTCCTGAGGCAGCTACAAGATAGATAACATCTAGCTTTTGGAATAAGGGCGATGAGGAAATTGTTGCAACAAAGCAACAGTGAAACATATGGAGTTATTATAGACATCCACATAATAGCTGGGGACATGATAATTACAGTGTCAATCAAGGAGGAACATGATCAGAAACAGAAGAAAGGGAAGGCAAAGATCCAGGTAGAAAATATTAATTTAATTCAAGCGAAGGCTGAAAGACGGTAAATACAAAAGGAATCTAGGCAGATGACAGCAAAGATGAAGACTTCAGCAGTAGTGAAAATGAAAATGTTATAGTACAAGAAGCTCTACAAAAGATCCTGCGGATAATTAGACTAACCACAGAGGGCACCCAAGGGAAGACAACTCTGCTGAGGCAACAGGGTAACTTGGCAGTGGTCAGAGGAACATGATGGAGCTCTGCAGCAACTAGATACAGTGCTCTGTTATGTGTGATTGCAGTGCTTGCTGTCCAATAAATGGACACAAATTCAGAGCTTTAACTCTCTTACTGTCTGCCTTTCCAATCATCACATTGCTTTTCATGCGCTCTATACTTTTCTAGACTCATCTCCCTGGCCCAGTTATCATGCAGTTGGACACATGAAGATAGCTTAGGAACTTGTTTACCACAAGTAAAGTGAGCTTTCACTGAAACTGAATGAAATTCTATAGAAACCAAGAAGGAAAACTTGGCTGCCATGTTTGCCAGTAGGAACTATAACACACAAAGCTTCAATAGCAAAAAATGGGACAGATGTAATAGAAAGGTGCTTTGCTGTTACATCGCAATGAACGGCATCTAATGGACTACTGTACAGAATGCTAAAAACATTGACCTATGTTATGAACTTCAGCTCTCACACTGAGTACAAATTAGGTGAATATGTACAAGGATGAACACATAAAAATCCTGCAATACAAACCTTACAGAAAACTGAGGCCAGGTTGTAGCGCAGATTATCAGAGGAGCCCAAATTGCCTGGGCCTGTGGAAAATACTATTTTATTACAACACACATTGTGGGTAGCAGATGACGATGTTCTTCACCATTTCCATAGTTATAGCAAGGCTTCCAAAGCACAAGATCTTGTACTGGGCAGACAATGTATTGATTCAGTAGGTATAACTCAACAAGAAAATAAATTTATTGCTATAGGAGAAGCAGAGGACAATTAATCAAAAATATGTTATGATGAAATCTCTAATTAACAACTATATAAAGCAGTATATTTTTCCAACATAAGCAGCTCTTGTGATTAGCTTTTGCAGAGAATCTTGGAAAGCTGTTCCACATTTCGGTAAGTCCATTTTCTGTTGAAGAAGTGAATACATTCCATCTTGTTGAAAAGCATATTTAAAAGACAAGGGGTTCCTATGAGTTACAAAATACCTGTAACTTAATTTTGAATAGATACATTTTTGAAGTCATAGGGAATGAAATATATTTATTCCAGGTCTGGATGATGATAATTCCCAAAAAAATGGTCAGATGCCAAAGCCAATGCTTCTTGAGATGGATACACAACATAAACATTTTTGAAGCAGAGGACTGCATCACTGACAAGTATTTATTGCTTTCCTGAAAATCTGTTCACAAGTAGGACGTGAAGAATTACCTTTTCTATGTGACACACACTGCTATGATTCACAAGGTCTCAGTAAATTTACACGAGAGTAGAGTATTCAAAGGTATAAGGAGGGTACTACGCCAAAAGAAGCAGCTAAATGGTTTATACCATACAGTATAAAGATCTGCATTACAATCTTAGGCAGATATTCACAACCAGGCTGAGTTGGTGATAAAGACAGCTCAGATAAGTTAAGTGTTAACAATCTCTAACCTACACAGGTATAATCAGCAGGTTGTCAGGAGTATGCCTCAGGCCTAATGATGAGGACATTATTTGTCTGAGATATTTTTAATGGGAAATGGCAGAGGTAGTGTATTGTGATACTATCTTTTAAAATTAGTCATGTATAATCATCAGAAAACTTCCACTTGGGAGAGGTCTTATATGTGAGGCAGAAACTGGCTCAGAGTCTGCAAGACTGGCATATCTGTACAAGCCATTGTCAGCCAAAATCTCATTAGAAGAGCTCTGTCTGGAACACTACATTCTTGGTCTCACTGCATGTCTGCTGGTGCAACAGTTAGGAAGAGAAATTAGAAAGTATGGAAACCAATGGATCACATCCTATTGCCCATGAAGCTGAATCCAGGGGTCCTGAGGGAACTGGTGAATGCAGTTGCTAAGCCACTGTCCATCATATTTGAGAAGTCGTGGCAGTTCAGTGAATTTCCCACTGACTAGAAAAGGGGAAACATAATCCCTATTTTTAAAAAGGGAAAAAAGAAAGACTGGGGGAACTACAGGCCAGTCAGTCTCACCTCTGTGCCCTGAAAGATCATGGAGCAGAACCTCCTGGAAACTATTCTAACGCACATCGAAAATAAGGAGGTGATTGGTGACGGCCAACATGGCGTCACTAAGAGCAAATTGTTCCTGACAAATTTGGTGGCCTTCTACGACAGGGTTGCAGCACTGGTGGATAAGGGAAGAGCAACTGACATCATCTACCTGGATTTGTGCAAAGTATTTGACACTGTCCCACATGACATCCTTGTCTCTAAATTGGAGAGACACAGATTTGATGGGTGGTGGATAAGGAATTGGCTGGATTGTCACACTCAAAGACTTGTGGTCAATGGCTCAATGTCCGAGCAGAGACCAGTGACAAGTGGCATTCCTCAGGGGTTGGTATTGGGACCGGTACTATTTAACATCTTTGTCGGCAACATGGACAGTGGGATTGAGTGCACCCTCAGCAAGTGTGCCGACAACACCAAGCTGTGTGATGTGGTTAACACGCTGGAGGGAAGGGTTGCCATTAAGAGGGACCTTGACAGGCTTGAGAGGTGGGCCCGTGTGAACCTCATAAAGTTCAACAAGGCCAGGTGGAAGGTCCTGCACATGGGTCAGTATCAATACAGGCTGGTGGATGAAGGGATTGAAAGCAGCCCTGAGGAGAAGGATTTGGGGGTGTTGGTTGATGAGAAGCTCAACATGACCTGGCAACGTGTGCTTGCAGCCCAGAAAGCCAACCATATCCTGGGCTGCATCAAAAGAAGCATGACCAGCAGGTCGAGGGAGGTGATTCTCCCCCTCTACTCCGCTCTCATGAGACCCCATCTGTAGGACTGCCTCCAGCTCTGGGGCCCCCAACATAGGAAAGACATGGACCTGTTGGAGCAAGTCCAGAGGAGAGCCATGAGGATGACCAGAGGGCTGGAGCACCTCTCCTATGAAGACAGCTTGAGAGAGTCAGGGTTGTTCAGTCTGGAGAAGAGAAGGCCTCGGGAAGACCGTATAGCAGCCTCCCAGTACCTGAAGATGCCCCATCCCTGGAAGTGTTCAAGGCCAGGTGGGATGGGGATTTGATCAACCTGGTCTAGCGGGAGGTGTCCCTGCCCATGGCAGGGGGGTTGGAACTAGATGATCTTTAAGGTCCCTTCCAACCCAAACCATTCTATGATTCTATGGATTACAAAACATAGTGGACAGACTAAAGAGCAGTTGGAATGGGAGCAGATGTAAATCAAAAGCAATCCACAGCAATACTGATCCAAGGCTAAGATCTAAAGTGGCATTACAATTAAGAGCTATTCCTATGCATGACTGCCACTTAGCCTCAGAAAATGCTGACAAATTGGTTGTGCTTTCCTTTCACAATTACTTCTGACATTGAAAGCACAGTAGTGTAAATAAGATAAGCATCACGGTCCTATTACAATCTCTTTGCTGTCTTTGGCACTGCTTGTGTATATTCTAGTTTGCAATGGTTTTGGTTTTATTTTGTGAAAACAGGTTTTTATTTGATACAATATGAATTTCACATAGCTGCATTGTAATTAGTAATAGGGAGAAAGAAGATAGTTTTACTTTATTTCTTTAATGTTTTTCTTTTATATGAAAAGGGGAAAAGGGAAGAGGCATAAGCACTGTTTCATGTCTCAGGAAACAAGCTGCTTCCTTGGTCTTACTGAGATCTGGAAGTTTTCCATGCCAATAGAACACTTTTCTTTCTAGCACTGAAAGACTATTTGTGATTTCTGTGCCTAATGCAGTAGTTTATTTTAACTGATCCACCTCTCTGAAATAGGTTTAATTTTGCCATTTCAGATAAAATTGTAACATGAGCTGGATTTTTCATTAAAATATATTCTATACAGAAATAACATAGATCTTAAAAGAACTGTGATAGCCTTCTTTTCCTAACATACAAACTCATATGATTTTCTGTCAGTAAGCTAAAGAGACAGAATGCTAATATTTATGCTGTGTTTTCATTTTTTTCATGCTGTCACAGTCATCTTAGACTAAACAAAACTGTTATATTTTAAAGTAAGATACTTTGTATATTTATTTTAAAGAGTTAACAGAGCTTTTAGAATATTTGCTTTTAAGGAGTCTAATGGGAGGTAGAAATATTAAATAAATATAACCAAAGATAAATATATCTATTATCTAAATAAAAAACAAGTTAGAAGAATAGTTTGCCTATATATTTAAACACTCGTACATAGCAAAGATGTTAACTATTTAAAATAATAAATGTTCCCATTATTTTATTGTCCAACATATTTTTTTATTTCATTTCCATTTCCACCTATTATTCATAAGGAATAATGGCGTACTATTTATGCAGCTATATTTCCCCTTGAGTGACACAAATTTAATAAATCATAACATGAGAGATAAATACATTTTTAACCACTGAAGTGAACTGAAGGTCTGTACTTTGAAGTACCAATGTCAAACTCCACATTGTCTTTAGTGAGCTTCCAAAAAATGGGTTCAGGAAAGCTAGTACAGACCATCATGCAAGATGACCAAGAGAAAAAGATTAAACAGTTATCTCTTATTTAGTATTACAGTTTTTGTAATTTAGATATTTCATGTAAAAATATTTTAGCTTTTGGCAGCATGTTTTATCTGCATGTGTGGTTTAGAAGAGTCCTAAGATGTATGACAATGCTACTGACAAAGGAAAAGTGATTGAGCTCATCATAATTTAAAAACATTTCTGAATTTTATACTTTTTCTTCCCCTTAAAAGGATCACTTCCACCCAGTACCTGTTGGAAAACAGCTGATAAATGAAAGTTAGAAGGATCAGAAAAGGTTAATTCTAAAGATCAGCAAGTATGCTTAGAACAAAACTGGCATATATCAAAAAACTCAAGTTTTCATAAAATCCAAAGTCTGTTTCCACTTTGTTTAAAACCATAGTTATCAGTGTGTACCCCCTTCTTGTCTGCTCTAGCTCCCTCATGTTTTTCTCAGTCTAACAGGTTTCAAATCCACATCACCTATCCTCTTATGTTTTTTTCAAGTAAGGCAACTTTCCACACCTACTGTTGAAATTGTGCCATTGAAGAGAAATAAGTGAAGATGCATGGCATCAGGGACAGAGGCATTTCCCTAGGACTGAATGTTCTACATTAAATAGTGTTCAGACAAAACTTATTCAAGAGCTTTGGAACAGAGACTAGAACCCAGGATTCTACCCATTTATGTTAGAGCCCAAATCACCAAATATATTCACTAATGCAACACTTGCTCTCTTTTTCCGGTCTAAAAAGGACTTCAGATATTATCTCCTTTTTTTTGACCTCGCATGTCTCCTTCTTACAAGAATAAGAAAAATGTTCAGGCATTTTCATTCTTCTGTAGATAAGACTGAAGTTAGGATAGCTCATCTATGCCATATAAGTACTATGTTTTTCTCCTTAAAACAGAAAAAGAATAAAAGTTCAATCATTGTATATTATGGCATTTATGGGTCAGATTATCTACAATTTTAGATCCAAACATGAAGTGTGTTGATTGGTTTTGTATTTAGTTGGTGTCAATTCTATAAGCTGTATTAACAGGAAATGGTAAACAGGGATCAACACGTCTGTTCCTCGATGGTGTTTGTGTCACCTTTCTTGGGAGGACCATGATCATTCAAATATCTAGTAAATTACTTCTGATGTATCGAGAGTACGTAAAATAAATGGCAAGTTTATTACCACATATATTACATCTAATTCTGTGCATTTATGATGCAGAATATTGACACATACAGCAGTACCCAGGAAAATCAATCTTATCTAACAATGAATGACCGCAAACACTAAGAACTACTTTATATCAATTAACCTAGGCAGGCAATTCGATTATTGTTCATAGCTTTTTTCTCTCCTTTTCATACCTTTTCTATCCTCATATCACATGTCAAAATATTTCCCTGCAAGTTCATCTCCCTGTTTTAAGTTCATACTAGTTTCTGTCTTATTGTATATTCTGTAGATGTTTAGGTCATGCTCCTGTATTTTCTTCATCATCATCATCACCATCATCACCATCATCACCATCATCATCATCACTGTTATGCATAAGGCTAGATTAGTTACAGATCACCATACACATGAAAACCGTATTAATTCAGATACTATGACTGCAAATAATGATATAATATATAAATGTTCTCAAAGGACTTCAACTTGCAAGTAAATATCATACAAGAGTAGTTCCATTGAATTGAATAGAAACTGTTTACCTGCTTAATTTTAAGCACATGTCCAAATGTTTGCAAGACCTGATCTTTAGAAGATTTCTTTAGAAGAGAAATAGCTTTGTGTACTAATTGTGTATTAAGAAGATCTCTTGGTTTTGTTCCTGAGGCAAAAAAGGTTGTGACCTGTTATGATTACTTGACAAACCAGTCATAGTTTTCCAGTTTATAAATAAGACTGATTTCAAAGTTATTTGAGATACAAAAAGCACGAAGACCTACATTCCCCTAATATTCTCATAGCACTTTGGGCATGTGTAATGCATGTTTTACAAGAGTTTAACATAATAAGAAAAGTTTTGGTTTAGAATTTATTGTGCCCCATCAATTTTAAATGTTATAACCCTGTGAAAATTTTTTAACTGTAAGGACTTCAGCCAAATTCTGCTTAAAGGAGTGTAAATCTGGAAATTCTGTATTGAAGTCAATGAATATGGTCCAGATTTAAACAACTGCAGATAAGAATAGAGTTTGGCTTCACATCTTCAGTCACGATCAGACATTTTAAGGAGAATAGGATATTCTGCAGACTATTTTTATATAGCTTTCCTTTGGAAGGAAATATCTATGGCTATTACATGGTCAGCTGGAAAAGGAATGGTCATTTATTCCTGTCCTTGCAAAATTAGGCCACTAGCTTTGCTGCATAGGATGAACGCAAGACTGAGTCATGGTTACAGTGTGCTGGGTGTGACTGCAAAAGAAAAATATTCTTTACTCTCACAATATTTGTTGTTACTTTGGGGGGGGGGGGGGGGGGAGAAGTGGGGGCTTTTTTGTTGTAAAGT